TCCCCGCCCCCCTGCGGACGTCTGGGACCAGCCCAAAGACGGCCACACCTGTCCTGCTGACCGGGAGAAGCCCAGCAAGGGGGGGCGGCGGAGGGGGGGGGAGAGGCACACCTGGAGGGGAATTTGGGCACAAGCGTCCTCAGAGCAGGGTGGCAAAGGGTGGGCAGCGCAGCGGGGGGCACTTTGCCTTCCCTCCCTTCCTCCCCTCTCCTCGTGCAGATGTTTCCTGGCCCCCACTTCTTCCAATAGTCCCCACGGGCCTCTTCTGCCAGATCCCAAGCCGGGTCAATCCGGTGCCGGCCAACAGCCTCGATTCCTGTGGCCCACCGGCACAAGCCCCGGGGAAAGCTGACAGGGGATCCCCTCCCCCCCCCAAGCATCCCCGGGGAAGAACACCCCCCCTCCCCCAAGCACAAAGAGAAACTGAGTCGCAGAACAAGGGCCAGCCGGCCGGCCAGCTGGGCTGCCTTTGAGGCGTTTGGTCCGTGCTGAAGTCCCTCGAGGTCCAGGGTGCCGTCGAATCCGCCAGCCGGCCCACCCCGGGAGGAAGGGAGGAATCACTCACACCGCGCCTTCTGCTGGAAGTAGGCCTCAAAGCGGCACTGCGCATACTCCTGGGACAGAGACGGAGAGACTGGTCAGGCAGCAGGAGGGACAGGCGCACAGACACACGAGAGAGAGAGAGAGAGAGAGAGAGAGAGAGAGAGAGCGAGAGAGAGAGAGAGAGAGCGCCTGCATCCACCCAAGCATGTTCCATCTTCACCTGGTTCAATGTGCCTCCTCCTGCCCCACAATCAATGCTCCCTCTCAGCTGTGGAGTCTCGTGAGCAAGAATCCTACTTTGTGAGCTCCTGGCATTAAAGTGGTGAGCGAGCCATTTGGCCGCTGCATAAATTAGTTTGCTCTGGAGCCCTCCTTCCTGAGCTTAAGACAAAAATGTGTGAGCCGGAGGCTAAAAAACTGTGAGCTAGCTCACGGTAACTCAAGCATAGAGGGAACACGACTCTGGAGCCATCCTCCCTGAGCTAAGGCAAAAATGTGTGAGCCGGAGGCTAAAGAACTGTGAGCTAGCTCACACTGACTCAGCTTCGAGGGAACACTGAAGAGAAGAAGAAGAAGAAGAAGAGACTGGATTTATGCCCCATGGCCCTTCACTACCCAAGGGAGTCTCAGAGCGGCTGACAAACTCCTTGCCCTTCCCCTCTCCACAACAGACAGACACCCTTGTGAGGCGGGCAGGGCTGAGAGAGCTCTTGACAGAAACTGCTCTTTCTCAAGAACAACTCTTATCAGAGCTGTGGCTTGCCCAAGGTCATCCAGCCAGGTGCGAGTGGAGGAGGAGTGGGGAATCAAACCCGGTTCTCCCAGATTAGAGTCCATGCACTTAACCACGACACCAAACTGCCCACAGTCATCAGGCAGAGATGCAGGAGTTTAGTTTTATTCCCAGAACCAGGCAGTAGTGCAAGAAAAAGGAGTTATCTTGGCTGGGAAAGCAGTTTAAAGTGAACATGTTGTCGAAGGCTTTCACGGCCGGAGTTCATTAGTTGTTGTCGATTTTCCGGGCTGTATGGCCGGGTGGTCCAAGACCACGGGTGGTCCAAGACCCCGGCCATACAGCTCGGAAAATCGACAACAACTAGTTCAACTTCAGCCCAAGTGGCACGGATCGGCTTCTCAGCTTCTGCCTGCCAGCGTGTGAGTGTGTGTGTGTGTGTGTGTGGAGGGGGATAACCTCACCCACGCCCCATCCCGAGGAAGCAGACCGGCCTGCCTGCTGCCCGCGCCTACTCACCAGGTAGCCAAACTCAATGGTAGAGATCTTGGCCTGCAAGATGGACCACAGGCCCCAGAAGAAGTGGGAGGCCAGCGTGAACCTGTGGGAACAAGCAGGGGAGGCAGCACCGTCAGCGTGTGTGTGCGCATGGGTGTGCATGGGGGTGGGGTTCCTCCCGTGTTCTTTTGCCCTACTTCACCCCCCCCCCCGAGAAACCACACCATTTCCTCTCCGAGGAGTCGGGCAAGCAGAACACCTCCTCTCTTCTCCCCAGAAGATGGAGAGCAAGAGAGACCAAAGGCCCGCCAGGATCCATTGCAGGGTCTGGAGAGCAAGAGAGACCAAAGGCCCCCCAGGATCCATTGCAGGGTCCAAAGTGATCTCCCCCCCCCCCCGTCCCAGAGATATCTCTGCTCCCCCCTCCCCCCGGCCACTGACCTGCTGATCTCTAGCAGCATCTCTGCCTCAAGGCGCTCCTGTTCTTCCGGGGAGGGGGGTGCATTCTTCCCATCTGCCTCGGACAGGTAACTCCGGATGAAGTGCAGCTATGAAAAGAAGAAGAGGAGGAGGAGGAAGAAGAAGAGGAAGAAGAGGAAGAGGAGATTGGATTTATACCCCACCCATCACTACCCAAAGGAGTCTCAGAGCGGCTTACAAAGTCCTTTCCCTTCCTCTCCCCACAACAGACACCCTGTGCGGTGGGTGGGGCTGAGAGAGCTCTGACAGAAACTGCTCTTTTTCAAGGACAGCTCTGCCAGAACTACCGCTTGCCCAAGGTCATCCAGCAGGTGCAAGTGGAGGAGTGGGGAATCAAACCCGGTTCTCCCAGATTAGAGTCCGCACACTTAACCACTACGCCAAACCAAAGGCACCTTCACCAGAGTGTGGGTCTGGGACCGCCCCCAAAGCCAGCAGTAGAAGAAGAAATTGGATTTCTATCCCTTGCCCTTCACTACCCAAAGGTGTCTCAGAGCGGCTTACAAACTCCTTTCCCTTCCCCTCCCCACAACAGACAGACACCCTGTGAGGGAGGCGGGGCTGAGAGAGCTCTTGACACAAACTACTCCTGACTTATCTTACAGTCACTTGCTGCGGTGGAGACTGATTCTATGATAATTTTACAGCTGTAGTTTCCTATGTTCTGGAAACTGCTTCGTAAACATAGAAAAGCAAACTTAGAAAAGCGTGGATTGGATTACCTGTTGGGGGTGGCTGGGGTAGTTCTCCCAGCTGGCTTTGTAGAAAGGCCACTGGTCGTGCGAGTAGTTGTAGACCCACTCGCAGAAGTGATTGGCGATGTCGAAACCCCTGGGGGAGAGAAAGAGGTTGAAACCCCTCTGTTTTCTGGGCTCGGGGACCAGAGGTGCTCCCACGTGGCTGTGCCCGCCGGCGGGAATGGAGGGCACGCCCCACTGGCAAAGAGCCACTTCAGAGGACGGACGTGTTGCCGCAGCAGCTCCTGCCCGCACCAAGCAGTGGGCACGCCCTCCCCCAATTTAATTAATTAAATCATTCATTCATCTTATTTATACCCCGCCCTCCCTGCCAAGGCAGGCTCAGGGCAGCTTACAAATATACCATAAAAATACAATTAAAACCTGTCATAACATATAAACAGATAATATAAGATAGCAATCGTGTAAAATACAACTAAAACACCGGAACCTGACCAAACGAACAGGAGCAAAAGATTATTTATAATATGACTTAGGCGGCCGTATAGTTCCCATAGGTTCACGCCAGCTCAGCTCGGTCACTTGTCATGCAGCGAGAACAGGCTGAAGAGAGCGAGGGTAAGGCCAGGGCACAGGCTGGCAAAGGTGGTAAGGCCAGGGCACAGGGACACTCCCTCAGTGTATGATGCAGCTCCTTGGTCGAACGCATGGCGGAAGAGCTCTGTCTTGCAGGCCCTGCAGAACTGTAAGAGGTCCTGGGGGGGGCCCTGGTCTCGTTCCACCAGAATGGAGCCGCCACGGAGAAGGCCCTGGCCCTGGTTGTTGCCGGCCTGGCATCCCTGGGGCCTGGAAGGGCCAACCGGTTTTGCGTCCCTGAACAGATTCCCACCTGTTCAGCCAGACCGCACCACACTTTTAGCAAGTCGTGTCCAAGTCTGAATACGCCACATGTAGGTCCAAATTCTTGCCAGCAATTCCTCCACTTGGGGCCATTTCGGCTCAAGGAAACGGCATGGGGGCAAGAGGCCCTCCTCCCCACCTCGTGGTCCCAAGCCGAATCAGGCTCCAGCAGGCTTGAAAAATGACCTTCCCGGCAAGCCCAGTCTCCTTCCGATCTCGGAAGCTCAGCAGGGTCGACTCTGGCAAGTACTTGGACGGGAGGACTCCTTGGAATGCCAGCAGTCGGGAAGCGGGGGCAGGCTTCCTCCCGCCACCTCTGTGAATATCCTCCAGGCCCCCAGTTGGGGTCAGTCACCGGAGGTCGCCATGACTTCCAGGTGCACACACACTCACGTGCACACAAACGCATATGAAAAATGCAAAAAGTAACCAAAAAGATGGGATCCCACCATCCTGGCCACATAAATTACCAACATCTGTGCCAGAGAAACGCCATATATTTTTTTCGGGGCGGGGGAATAAAACCTTGGATCTCGGAATGATCATAGAATCATAGAATGTTAGAGTTGGAAGGGATCTTGGAGGTCATCTAGTCCAGCCCCCTGCACTCTGCAGGAGCACAGCCGAAAGACAGCCCTGCAACATGCCTGAAAAAGGGTCATTCAGCCTCCGCCTGAAAACGTCCAGCGAAGGAGCCTCCACCACCTCCCGAGGCAGGCTGTTCCATGGCTCAACCACTCTGACAGTTAGGAAGTTTCTCCTGATATTTAGCCGTTAACGACTCCCTTGTAATTTCCACCCATTAGATCTAGTCTTGCAATCCGGAGCAAGAGGGAATAGATCTGCTCCATCTTCTACATGACAGCCCTTCAGACTGCAATCGTGTCCCCTCTAAGCCTTCTCTTTTCCAGGCTAAACAGACCCAACTCTTTCAGCCTTTCCTCGTAAGACTTGGATTCCAACCTTCTCACCATCCTGGTTGCCCTCTTCTGGACACGCTCGAGCTTGTCAACATCCTTCCTAAAGTGTGGGGCCCAAAACTGGACACAGGACTCCAGGTGAGGCCTGAGTCCATAGCAGAATAGAGTGGAACGGCCACCTCCCATGATCTGGATACAGTGCTGCTGTTGATGCATCCTAAGACGGCATTCGCTTTCTTCGCAGACTCCTTGGCAGCCGCAGAGCAGAAGGAAACGTTTCAACGGGGAAAAGGCTTACGGGGAGCATATGCCTGCCCTGCTTTTTCATCTGGTGGGGAAACCGGGAGGGGGGGGGGGCGGGCGACCTGTTCCCTGGCCCCGCCAGAGCCCAGAAGGCGGAGGGAGCTTGGTGGGCCCGCCACAGCCACGCCCGCTGGGGGGCAGCGGGGGGTCTGGCGAGGCAGCCGCTCCTCCCCCTCCTGCGAGGCTCACCTGTAGTTGTAGCTGCTGTACTCAAAGTCGATCAGCATGAGGCGGTCCGAGGAGAGGTTCTCGCGCCCGGCGAGGAGCAGGATGTTCCCTGGGGATGCAGTCAAAGGGGGCAGGTGAGGGCCGCAGCGGGCAGCCCCCGCGCTCACTCTGGAGGCAGAAAGGGGGAACAGGACCCTGTCCTTCTCTGCTCGGAGGAGGCACCCGGGCAGGTACGAGAAAGCCCCCTCCCCCAAAGGAGCCAGGAGAGACACCCCCCCTTCCCAGGGGCTTCCGGAGCACTTCCCCAGGGAGGCTCCCGGGGTGTGTGTGTGTGTATGACCTGCCTGCCCCCCACCTCCTCACCTTCTTGTACATCGTTGTGGCAGAAAACCACCGGGGACGGAGTGGCCTCCAGGAGAGCCCTGCAGGAGTCAGAGAGAGACAGAGAGTCAGAAAAGGGGCTAGACTTCCGCCCCTTTCCTTCCCCCACTGGGCGTTAAAGGGGCACGCAGACCGGAAGGTAGGGGGAGCGAGGGAAACAGAACCACCACCACCACCACCACCACCAAGTCAGGCACACAGCAGGTGACCTAACCTCTAGAGCCCACTCTCCTCCATCACTGCCTTTTAAAAAAGAAAACAGGTAAAATGTGGGAAGAACACATCGACTAGCGGCTGCCAGCCACAATCGCCAGCGGCCAGCCCCCTATGGAGAGGCCCTCAGGCCTACAGAGGGTGTGGGGGGGGAGCTTATGCTCTTACAAGCATATGGAGCAGAAGTCCATCAGTGGCTATTAGCCACAAGGTATCGGTAGGAACTCTCAGGCTGGGGCAAGGGATGCTCTGTATTTTTGGGGCTTCTTGGGGGGGGGGGGGCGACAGTGGGAGGGTTTCTGGTGTCCTGGCCCCACTGCTGGACCTCCTGATGGCCCCTGGTATTTCTGGCCCCTGTGTGACACAGAGTGTTGGACTGGAGAGGCCACTGGCCTGATCCAACATTGGCTTCTCTTATGTTCTTATATGGAGCAGAGGTCCCTCAGTGGCTCTTAGCCACACAGTATAGATAGGAACTCTCAGTCTGGGGCAAGTGATGCTCTGTCTTCTTGGTGCTTGGGGGGCGCAACAGTGGGAGGGTTTCTCTAGTGTCCTGGCCCCACTGTTGGACCTCCTGATAGCACTTTTGGCCACTGTGTGACCCAGAGTGTTGGACTGGAGGGGCCACTGGCCTGACCCAGCATTGGCTTCTCCTATGTTCTTATAAGCCACCCCCATCATGCCTCACTCGGGAACCTCCCTGGCATCGTTCCTGGCAGCTACTCTCAGTCACGAAAACACGAAGCCGCCATCTACTCGATGAGACCCTGAGTCCACTGAGGTCAGTGCTGTCTGCTCGTGCTGGTCTCTGCCTCTCCAGGGTCTCAGGCAGAGGCCTTTCCCATCACCTCCTGCCTGGTCCCTTTGACTGAACACATCAGGGATCGAACCTGGGACCTCCTGCAGGCCCAGCAGAAGTGCCACCATTGAGCCACGGCCCCTCCCCAAGAGGGAAAGCCAAGAGCGTGGTCCCAATCCAGCACGGCGGTTTCCAAAGCAACTGGACTGACCTTCACCAAGAGGTGATTGTTGACAGGTGCCGCCCCAGGAAAACCCAAAGGAAGTAGTGAGCGCCCCCCCCCCCCGCACAGCTGGCTGCTCACCTGAGGCTGCGCATCTCGGCCTCCAGGTTGTAGGCCTTGAGTTTGTTGAGTTTCCGCAGCTGAGCCTCCTGGGGGAAGGTGAGTTCGGAGATCTGCTTCAAGTACCTGGGAGCAAAGAAGAAGGAAAACAGATTGGATTTATACCCCACCCTTCATTACCCAAAGGTGTCTCAGAATGGCTTACAATCTCCTTCCTTTCCCCTCCCCACAACAGACATCCTGTGAGGTAGGTAGGGCTGAGAGAGCTCTTTTCAGAACTGTCCCTGAGAGAACAGCTCTGAAAGAACTTGAGACTGACCCAAGGTCACACCAGCAGCTGCAAGTGGAGGAGTGGGGAATCAAACCCGGTTCTCTCAGATTAGAGTCCGCGCACTCAACCACCACACAAATGGGCCTATCTATGCTACCTGGGGCCTCAGATGTCAAACCCAGCTCCCTGAACGGTAGTCAGAAGGCCCTTGCGGATATGGCATATCAGTGCCCTGTGCTCTCACTGCCAGAAAATATGTGCTGTGATGTCCACATCGCCCACTGTAAGCTTAGTGGCTGTCACCAAGGGCAGCACCATGCACGGCCTATGCCAGCAGTCAAGCCAGAAGCTCCCAAAGGCGGCGATTACATTACCTCTCCATGGTCCCAAACATCCACTTCGGCTCCTTGTTGAAGGGCATAGCCATAGCGTGGAAACGGGCCATCTTCGTGGCAATCTCCCCCGATATGCTGGGGTCCGACAAGTCCTCGGTGAGTAGGCGGCGGCTCTGGGGCGGGGTGGGGGGAGAAAGGTCACATGGCTGTGTGAGGCAGGGGGTGGGGCACAGTCAACAAGAGCTTTTGCTTCTAAGGTGGGCAACGGCCGCGGGGCCTGCACCGCCAGCACACGCTCAAGCAGCAGACGACTGGCGTGGGGAAAGAGCGTCTCACGTCAAGCAACACAACACGAAGTCCCTGCCACGTGAGAGAAGAGGAGGAGGAGGAGATTGGATTCATACCCCGCCCTTCACTCCCCAAAGGAGTCTCAGAGCAGCTTACAAACTCCTTCCCCTCCCCACAACAGACACCCTGTGAGGTAGGTGGGGCTGAGAAAGCTCTTTTGAGGACTGCTCCTGAGAGAACAGCTCTGAGAAAACTTGTGACTGACTCAAGGTCACGCGAACTGGCTGCATGTGGAGGAGGAAGAAGAAGAGAAGAGATTGGATTCATACCCCACCCTTCACTCCCCAAAGGAGTCTCACAGCAGCTTACAAACTCCTTCCCCTCCCCACAACAGACACCCTGTGAGGGAGGCAGGGCTGAGAGAGCTCTGACAGAAACTGCTCTTTTTCAAGGACAGCTCTTATCAGAACTACGGCTTGCCCAAGGTCGTCCAGCCAGGTGCAAATGGAGGAGGAGTGGGGAATCAAACCCGGTTCTCCCAGATCAGAGTCCGCACACTTAACCACGACACCAAACTGGCTCTTGGGCCAAGCAGGGGAACTAAGGCCCGTGTGGTGGAGCGGGCAGGCGATCCATCTACAGAGACCTGGGTTCTAATCTCCGTGCAGCCACGTAGCTAACTGGGGAATCTCGAGCCAGCCAGCCACCCTCTTTCAACTGGATCGCGAGAAAAGGTTGGTGTGTGTGTGTGTGGGGGGGGGAATTAGTTCTCTGGTGGTGGAGGAGGAGCTCCCAACACCTTCTGAAAAAGGCTTCAAAAGGGCCGGTGAAGTGGGTGCTTCTGGGTCAGGCAGCCCCAGGCAAGGAGGGACGGAAGCCAGAACACATCAAGAGTCATCCCATGGACGCTTGTCGGCATGTACCCTGCTGCAGCCCTGCCTGGAGTACCAGCAAGTTTGCCAGTCAGAGGTGCCCAACATTGATAGTAGCAAGAATCAATTTTTCCCGGCACTGAAGAATGTAAGAGAAGCCAATGTTGGATCAGGCCAAAGGCCCATCCAGTCCAACACTCTGTCTCACACAGTGGCCAAAAACACCAGGGGCCATCAGGAGGTCCACCAGTGGGGCCAGAACTCCAGAAGCCCTCCTCCCATTGTGGCCCTTTAAGCACCAAGGATTCAGAGCATCACTTGCCCCAGATATAAGAGAAGCCAGTGTTGGATCAGGCCAAAGGCCCATCCAGTCCAGCACTCTGTGTCACACGGTGGCCAAAAACACCAGGGCCCATCAGGAGGTCCAGCAGGGGGGCCAGGACGCCAGAAGCCCTCCCACTGTTACCCCCCCCCCCAAGCACCAAGAAGACAGAGCATCCCTTGCCCCAGACTGAGAGTTCCTATCTATACCTTGTGGCTCATAGCCACTGATGGTCCTCTGCTCCATATAAGAACATAAGAGAAGCCAATGTTGGATCAGGCCAATGGCCCATCTAGTCCAACACTCTGTGTCACACAGTGGCCAGAAAAGCAGGTGCCATAAGGAGGTCCAGCAGTGGGGCCAGAACTCCAGAAGACCTCCCACTGTCCCCCCCCCCCAGCACCAAGAAGACAGAGCATCACTGCCCCGGACAGAGTGCTCCATCTATTCCTTGTGGCTGATGGCCACCGATGGACCTCTGCTCCTCCCCAAAGAGCTCAGGGAAGCATATCCAGCCTTCCTGCCGCAGTTCTGGCCTCACAATCACCCTGGGAGGTGGGTCCAGCTGACGGACAGAGGGGCACTCCATGGCCGAGCGGGGGTTTGATGCCAGGCTTCTTCTGCCCACCCCAGAACATGGGGTCAGTCATTATCCATTGAGCCATACAGCGGCCTTCACGCAAGGCAGCAGTACAGCGAGGGGGGGTCCGAGGGGCCCCCAGTGCTTCCCCGCTCCACCCCCTGGCGCTTGACTGCAGGGGATCCGATGCTGGCCAACAGGACAGGCTGCAGCTAGCCCAGTTCGCTCCCGTGCAGGACTCTGTGGCGTGCCTTGAAACACCTGGGTGCCCATACGTATACGTGCACGGAAGAGAAGGAGAAACAGAAACCGTCACCGCTCTACCGGGATATACTCCTCCAGCCGCCCCTGCGGGAAGATGCCATAGAGACGCGGCCCCAGGGACCGCTCCGCCAGGATGGCAAACATGACGCTCTCGAGGACCAGCGAGTCAACACCCTGGAAGGGAGAGGGAGGGGACAGGATGAGGGCCAGACCTCCCCCGGTGCCTTTCAGACACCCCCTCCCCAAAAGGAACGCCACGAGACGGGCCTGGTCAGATTCAGATATCAGGAACAGCATGAAGACAGCCCCCAGTCCCCACCGGAAGAGCCAAGACAAGCAGGTGTGTGAGGCTGGGAGGGGGGGAACGTGATTGATCTCTTGAAGTATTTGAAAGGCTGTCCATTAAAGGAGGGCAGGGAGATGCTCCTGTTGGCTGCAGAGGAGAGGACTCGCAAGAGTGGGTTTAAAGGACAGGCGGGAAGGTACCAGATCGATATTAGGAACAACTTTCTGAGAGTCAGAGTTGTGCCACAGCGGAGTCAGCTGCCTGGGGAGGTAGTGAGCTCCCCCTCCCTGGCCGTCTTCAAGCAGCGGCTGGAGAAACCCTGGTCAGGGATGCTCTAGGCTGGTCCTGCACTGAGCAGGGGGGCTGGACTAGATGGCCTCTATGGTCCCCTTCCAACTCTGTGTGGTTCTATGAGTTTGTACGTGTGCCATCTTGGCTTGAGAAACCTGGGATGGACTCAAGAGATGAGATGAAGCCACGAAGGCCAGACCGTTCACACAGCCCAGCCCGGTGACCCCTCTAATCCCCCAAACAAGCCTTCCATCCGTCCGTGTATTTCAGGGGCGCGCTGGGGGGAATCAGAGCTTGCCTCCAACAGAAACAGACTCAACAGCCGCAGAGGGAATTCCTCCCTGACCCTACAAGGAACAGAGTCAGCCATGAGCTGAGCAGGAAGCAGCCCCCACCCACAGAGCAGTGCCAAAGAGGGGGGAGAGGCATCTCTGACGGAGGACCCAGACCAGGCGACCTCCTGCCGCCTTCCCACACAGCCCTCCAGGGTGGCCCCCGGCAGAAAGCAGCGGGGCAGCTAAGCCATGCAGGGGGAAAGGGGGGGGCCCGCAGCGGCCTCGCAAAGGCCTCACCTGGAGGATGGCCCCGTAGACACGCAGCAGCACCTGCCGCGGCTCGTTCTCCGCAGTGGCGATGTGATCCGGCAGGGTGCATTTGTATAGGAGGTTACTGAGCCCCCCGCTGCAGAGAAAGCGGAAAGGAGGGTCAGGGGAGAGCCAGATCCTGGGAGGAGGAAGCCCTGGAGCAGAACGCCAGCACCACCGGGGGCAGGGGAAGGGAAAGGACAGGGCGGCCTGGATGGGGGAAGCGGAACCCACACTCACGCCCAGGGTGGTCCAAGAGGCTGCAGATTTGGAGCTTTCTCTGTTTTTAACGGTCAGCCCACATTTCTTCTTAGCCACAGTGATAGGGACATAAGAACAGCTGTAGGAAAATGACTCAGAATCAATCTGCAGGACCAGTTGGGGCCCAGGGTCTGCTCCCAGCTCCTTGGCAGCCGTGGGCATAGTGCCAACCCAAATGGGTCTACAGGTCACTTGGAGAGCTCTGCTCCTGGCTGGGGGGGGGTCAACAATGGGAGGGCTTCTAGTGTCCCGGCCCCACTGCTGGACCTCCTGATGGCCCCTGGTATTTCTGGCCACCGTGTGACACAGAGTGTTGGACTGGATGGGCCACTGGCCTGATCCAACATTGGCTTCTCTTATGTTCTTATGTCCTTCTGAAGGGGCTCCCGTCCCGTCCTCTGCTGAAGCAGCCGGTGGACTTGAACACACAAAGCTGCCTTATACTTCGCTCCATCAAGAGCAGTCTTCTCTGCTCAGACCGGCAGCGGCTCTCCAGGGGCTCAGGCAGAGGTCTTTCCCATCACCTCCTGCCTGGTCCTTTTTAACTGGAGATGCTGCCAGGGATTGAACCTGGGACCTTCTGCGTGCAGAACAGATGCTCTGGCACTGGGCCACGGTCCCTCTTTACCGCTCTCCAGGGTCTCAGGTGGAGGTCTTTCCCATCTCCTCCTGCCTGGTCCTTTTTAACTGGAGATGCTGGGGATTGAACCCGGGACCTTCTGCATGCCAAGCAGATGCTCTGCCACTGAGCCACGGCCCCTCTTTACAGCTCTCCAGGGTCTCAGGCGGAGGTCTTTCCCATCAGCTCCTGCCTGGTCTTTTTTGACTGGAGATGCCGCAGGGATTGAACCTGGGACCTTCTGCATGCCAAGCAAAGGCTCTTCCCCTGAGCCACGGCCCCTCTTTACAGCTCTCCAGGGTCTCTGGCTGAGTTCTTTCCCATCACCTCCTGCCTGGTCCTTTTTAACTAGGGATGCTGGGGATTGAACCTGGGATCTTCCGCATGCCAAGCAGAGGCTCTGCCCCTAAGCCACACCACCTACCTATGTCTTCCGGCATATCTGGCTGCAAATTACAGAAGCCAAATGTGCCTTGTGTGAAGGACTAACGTTTGTCTCTCTCAAATCTGCCAGCCATCAACTTCACAGGGAGGCTTTAAAGAGAGAGATAACCATGGGAGGTACCACAAGAGGCTCTGGGCTATTGGCCACCCCAGCTCAAGGCACCTTCCATGGTCAGAGAAGAAGAGATTGGATTTATACTTTGCCCTTCACTACCCAAAGGAGTCTCAGAGTGGCTTACAAACTCCTCTCCCTTCCCCTCCCCACAACAGACAGAGACCCTATGAGGCAGGGCTGAGAGAGCTCTGACAGAAACTGCTCTTTTTCAAGAACACCCTTTGACAGAACTATGGCTTAAGAATGTAAGCGAAGCCAATGTTGGATCAGGCCAATGGCCCATCCAGTCCAACACTCTGTCACACAGTGGACAGAAATACCAGCTGTGCCCAAGGTCATCCAGCCAGGTGCAAGTGGAGAAGTGGGGCATCAAACTCGGTTCTCCCAGATTAGAGTCTGCGCACTTAACCACACCAGACTGGCCCCCTGAGTACCAGGTGCTGGGCTGAGACACTGAGGGGGAAAGGCCGCCACCGCCTTTGTGCTCAACTCACAGCTTAGCCACCCCTGGAAACAGAGCTCGGGGCTAGACAGGCCGGCCTCAGCCAGCGAGTTCTTGAAATGCCACTTCTGCCCGGAGAATGCAAGCGCTCCACCTTCAGACGGGAGCCAGGCAGGGCCAGCAAAGCCACTCCTTATGACCACCGGGACGCAGGCCCCTGGGTACTTCACAGCGAGTCAACAACAAGGCAGAGGAATGTGTTAAGCAAAGGGAAACAAGTCCCCTCCTCTGTGGCACTCAGGGGCTGTTTGCGACACTCAGAGGATGAGGCGACCCACTCCTTTAGCCCCACTGAACACCTGGCGCCCTGCCATGAAATGAGGTTTCGGGATCTCTGTCAAGCCACGCAGGTTCAATTGGCACACGAATGCTCAGCAGGAACGGCCCCAGAGAAAGGTTCGCACGGCGGGAGAGCTCCTACAGTAAGAGGAAATGCAACCAGCAGCCTCCACGTTGAGTCCACGAGGGCAAGAAAGGCGCGGCTCCTTCACTGCGGGGGCTGCGGGGAAAGTGGGAACTGCTCTTGCAAGAGCAAAGCAAGCGGAGAAATAACTGCTCCTCAGCTGATTTTAAAGCTCTGTAAAGGAGAGAGACAATTCTGCTTTCCCCATTTCTGTGAGCAACGAGAGAAGGCTGCCCTAGCAAGAGGGGGCCGGCGCACATGCAGGGGGCGATGGGGGTCTTGGCAACCTCCACATGGAAGGACGTGTGGCTCCACCAAGTTGCTTTGCGTGCAGCCATCACACTGCTCTCCTGAGGGAGAAGCAGCCTTTCTAAATCCTTCTTGATGGGGGGGAGAAAGTTCCCTGCATGCTGGAAGCCAGCACAGGAGCACGTGCAGCGCACTGACCCTGAATCAGACTGCTGGCCATCAAGGTCGGTATTGCCAACTCAGGCGGGCAGCGGTTCTCCAGGGTGTCTCAGGCGGAGGTCTTTCCCGTCACCTCCCAGCCTGGTCTTTTTTAACGAGAGATGCCGAGGATTGAACCTGGGACCTTTTGCACGCCAAGCAGAGGCTCTGCCCCTGAGCCACGGCCCCTCCCAGACACTTGTGCACAGTGACATCTATGGGACAGCCCTTCTCCCTGACACACTCGATTCCCTCGTGCAGCTGGGCGAAGGCACCATGGCTTCCCTCCGGCCTGGATCCTGATGCTCACTTGCCCCCAAGACTGGCCCAATCCCCTCCGACGAAGGGAAACCTCCCCCAGTCACAGAAGAGCACATTCCCCCTTCTCCGGCCAACTTCTCCGGCTTCCTGGCCCTTCGACACCTGGGCACACCCCCAGCCACCCCAAGCGCCCATCCTACAGCCGGACTGGTCAGAGCGCTCTGCCAGCACCTTCTCCCCCGGCCTTGCCGCCCTCACCCCCAAGAGGAGCTCCATCTGCAAAAGATGCTGCTCCCCAATTTTGTCCGGACCCGGCTCCTCCATTGCTGCCTACAGACTGCCCCCCCACGTACTAGCTGAAGGCGCCATTTCCAGCCCCCCCCCCGCCGCCCTGGCAGGCAGGCAGGCACTCCTCCTCCTATTCCTCCTTCCTAGGGAGTCCTGCGCCAGGCAGCTCTCGATACAAGGTGAAGTCAGCACACCACCAATGATCCCTCTAAGCTGTGAGCAAAAATCCTACTTTGTGAGCTCCTGGCATGAAAGTTGTGAGCGAGCGATTGGGCTACTGCATCAATTAGTTTGCTCTGGAGCCACCTCCTTCCTGAGCCAAGAAACAAATGTGTGAGCCGGAGGCTAAAGAACTGTGACCTAGCTCACACTCACTCAGTTTAGAGGGAGCACTGCTTGTAAGCAATGCTCCCTCTAAGCTGTGGAGTCTCGTGAATAAAAATTTTACTTTTTGAGCGACCGGCGTTAAAGCTGTGAGAGAGCGAATTGGCCGCTGCATAAATCAGTTTGCTCTGGAGCCACCTCCTTCCTGAGCCAAGAAACAAATGTGTGAGCCGGAGGCTAAAGAACTGTGACCTAGCTCACACTCACTCAGCTTAGAGGAAACATTGCTCTGGAGCCACGTCCTTCCTGAGCCAAGACACAAATGTGTGAGCCGGAGGCTAAAGAACTGTGACCTAGCTCACACTCACTCAGCTTAGAGGAAACATTGCTCTGGAGCCACGTCCTTCCTGAGCCAAGACACAAATTTGTGAGCTAGCTCACATTAACTCAGCTTAGAGCAGTGGTGGCGAACCTATGGCACGGGTGCCAGAGGTGGCACTTAGAGCCCTTTCTGTGGGCACGCGTGCCATCGCCCCAGCCAGGCCTAGACCGTCATTAAAGTGTGGAATTATCTGCCAAATAATTGTTGAGTTATTTTTTCTAATGTATGAGTTATTTTTTCTAATTGCCATGTTCAATTGCCATGTTGGCACTTTGCAATAAATAAGTGGGTTTTGGGCGAGATTGGATTTATACCCCATGGCCCTTCACTACCCAAAGGTGTCTCAGAGCGGCTTACAAGCTCCTTTTCCCTTCCCCTCCCCACAACAGACACCCTGTGAGGTAGGTGGGGCTGAGAGAGCTCTGACAGAAACGGCTCTTTTTCAAGGACAGCTGTGCCAGAGCTTGTGACTGACCCAAGGTCATCCACCGAGGTGCAAGTGGAGGAGTGGGGAATCAAACCCGGTTCTCCCAGATTAGAGTCCACGCACTTTAACCACGACACCAAACTGGCACTCGGTCTCTAAAAGGCTCGCCATCACTGGTTTAGAGGGAACACCGGGAATCAGCGCACCACCACAAGAAAACCGACCCCGAAAGCATTACACGATCCTCCCTGACCGCATCCACCCATCCGGCACACAATTCAGCCAAGGGCGGTGCGGGGCGAGTGAGGGACGGAGGTGGCAGAGCTCCGGGCGAAGGAAGCGCTCCTCGGGATCCAGTGGCCGCGAGTCCCGCGGGCGAACGGGGGAGGAAGGGGCGGGGCCGCCCGGGGGGGGGGGCGGG